CCCCCTAATACTGACCCCCATAGTGACCCCCATCATAACGACCCCACAGCGCCCCCACCTGGTGCAGCTTTGCCACGGCCGGCCCGCTCCTCTCCTTCTCCTCGTACTTCTCCACCCTGGTCTGCAGCCGCCGGTATTCCTGCAGGCTCTGCTCGCGCCGCTTCACCGCCATGTTGAGGCTGGGGAAGACGCTGCTGAACCTGGGGGGGGGCAGCGCTGCCTCACGAGGCCGCCCCCGACCCGCAGCCCCGCGTCCCGCACCACGGCCCCATAAAGCACGGCCCTGAAACATGGCCCCAAAGCAGCAGAACCTCATGGCAGCGCAGCCCCATAGCAATATGGCCCTACAGCAATACAGCCCTATAGCACGGCCCCATAGCAGCACAGCCCTATAGCAATATAGCCCTATAGCACGGCCCCATAGCAGCACAGCCCTGTAGCAATATAGCCCTATAGCACAGCCCCATAGCAGCACAGCCCTATAGCAATATAGCCCTATAGCACGGCCCCATGGCAGCACAGCCCTGTAGCACAGCCCCATAGCAATATGGCCCTACAGCAATATAGCCCTGTAGCACAGCCCCATAGCAGCACAGCCCCATGGTGCAACCCAATGGAACGGCTCCATAGCAGCTCTACCCCAAAGCACAGCCCCAAAACATGGTCCCAAAGCAGCACAGCCCCATAGCAGCACAGCCCCATGGCAACACAGCCCCATAGCACAGCCCCATAGCACAGCCCCATAGCACAGCCCCACGGCTGGCGGCCTTTGCACAAGGGGGCAGCAGCAGCGCAGCGCATTACGGCGGCCATAAAGCAGCTTTGGGCCGTAAGCCGGGCCGCTCCTCGTCACTTTTTAGGCAGCGCTGCTGAGAGGGGATTAAAGCTTAAGGGGGGCAGGTGAGGGGAGATGGAGGGGATGAGGAAAAGGAAAGGAGGGCCGCTGCCGGGGAGGGGGAGATCAGCGCTGGGCTGCGCGGAGGCGTTTGGAGATGGGGATCCTGCGGGGCACAACTGGCGGCCGACCGAGGGCACGGGGCGCCGGGGCAGCGCTGGGGGCACGGCTGGAAACGGCAGCGGCTCCGGGTCGCAGGGCAGAACCGACGGGGTGCGAAGCGGCTCCAGCAACGGCCGGGCGGCACCGCGAGCCCAGGAGGGCTGGAAGCGGCTGCAAAGAGCGGCGAGACGGGAGAACGGGGAGCAAAGAGCCGCGGTGCGACGGAGCTGCAAGTGGGAGCTGCAGAGCAAAGCGCATCGCGGCCCCCCAACCCACGCCGTTCTCCCCGTGCTGCTCCCAACGCAGCCCCGACCCTCAGCGCCCGGACAGCGCGCTGGGATCCCTCATCAGCGCCAATTCACGTCATTAACAGCCGCTCTGCTCCGCGGCTCCGAAGCAGCGGCTGCTGCAGGGTTCGGTGCGGCTGCGGCCGGTGCAGAAGCTGGGGGCTCTGCACGCTGTGGGGCAGAGCTGCAGTGCAGACGCCGTGCGTCGCTGCACCAACGCGGCTCCGTGCAGCAGCAGCGGCGCAGCTCCGGCCGCTCATCCGCAGAGCCGCAGCCGAGGCCGAACGCTGTCAGCTCCCGGCTCCGCGCTGCCTCCTGCCGCTGCTCGGGGCTCCACGGCCCCGCGGCTCCCTGCCAACCCGAGCCGCGCTGCGGACCCGCGGTTCCCCGTTCCGTTGGCTGGAACCCGCGGAGCTCAGCGCACAAACGCTCCTATCAGCGCCGGCACAGCGCTGGAGGCGAGGTCCGTGCGTTCCACGCGATACCAGCAGCTCGGCTCCCAGCTCCGCTCTGGCTTTGCTTTTCGTTCCTCCCGTTCCTTTTCCCCCCCCAGGGCTGAGGCCCCGCTGGCAGCACACAGACGCCGCAGCCCCGCAGCGCCACCGCTTTCGCTCCCACATTTGGGCACAAACTTGAAGGCAAAACCACCGCCGGAACCCCACGGACCGAGGCCCCGCAGCGCAACCCGCAGCCGTTCGCAGCGCTGCCTGCCGGCTCCTCACCTTCCCTTTCTGCTCCCTTCTCCCCTTCATCCCCGCCGTCCCAGCAGCGGCGCAGGGCTGCCAGCCCTCCTCCACGGGGTCGCAGCCCAGGACCCCCATCTCTGCCGTTTGCCCCCAGTCCCGTTCCATGAAGCTCCCCCAGGCCCCCCCACGTCCCCCTCTGCACAGGTCGCCCCCCAGGTCCCCTCCCCAGGGTCACCACCAGACCCCGAGCGCCCCGTGCCCCCTAACGAGCGCGGCGCTGACGAACGCGGCCCCAGCACTCACTTCTTCAAGGGCTCCATCACCGTCTTCTGGATCTGGTTCACCTGTTGGGAGCACAGCGCTCACCTGCAGCCCTTCGTCCCCAGCGCCACCAAAAGCCCCGAGGGCTCAGGATGGGCCGCCGTCCCCAGGGCCGGGCGAAGGGACACCGGTGTGGGAAGAGCCCTGGGACGGCGACACGACGGCCGCAGCCAATGCCGCCCTCACCTTCTCCTGGTTGAAGGAATCCATCCTCCTCATGGCCGTGTCGAAGGCGGTGACCACCTCCAGGAAGGCGGCGTCCTGCTCACACAGCGGGTTGGACAGCAGGTCGGAGGAGATCTTCACTGCTGCTTTGGACATGGCTGCGGGAACGGGGAGAGCAGGGGAACAGGGGGACAGTGAGCAACAGGGGGACAGTGAGCGATAGGGGGACAGTGAGCAACAGGGGGACAGTGAGCAACAGGGGGACAGTGAGGAGCAGCACCTGGCAGCACGGGGGGGTTGGGGTTGGGGTCGGAGCGGGGCTCCCAGCGCTCCCTCCCAGCCTCGTGGATCTCGGGGCACAGGTCAGTAGCAGACATGGCGGGGTGGCACTGGGGGTCGTCATTCCTTCCTGGCCCCAAATGAGGGCGCTTCCAACGCTCCGTGCCACCCTCACGGCTCTGTGACACCTTTAGCAGCACGGAGCCATGTATCACAGCAGGGTGACGGCACAACACCGAGGGGCTCCGCCACGGCCTCCCCAAGGACACTGCAGGGGACCCCATCCCTCCTCCTGCGTTGGATCTGAGCCGCATCCGCGCCGCTTCCACACTGGGCTCCAGGCATCCACGCAGCCCAGCAGCCCTCGCAGCACCGCAGCTCTTAAGCAATGAGTGCAGGCGGCTCCTCGTCCCATCTCCTCCCCGCACAGCACAGAGTTGCCACCGCCAGGCTCCTGCAGCTCCGTCCCAACGAGGGCAACCGCAGCCCATCGCATCTCTGCGCCTCCGTGAGGACGGCGTCTGCCTGCGGGGTTCCGAGCTGCTGGGAGCAGCGGAGCAGCAGGCCTGGAGCGCTCAGCCCTCCTCAATGCACACAGGTGGATGAAAGCTGCCCCCAGGGAGCTGCTTCTGCCCCTGGAGCCCACTGGAACTTGGGGAAGACGGAGCTGGGCGCTCCATGGGCTCCTCCTGCCTCCCGTCTGCCTTCCCAGCCCTGCAGTTGGCCTGGGATGGAAGATTAAACCCCCACGACACAACTGCTGCAAAGACCAGCAAAACAACTACGGCAGTGAATGGAAAACAGGAATGGAAAGGCTGTGGTCAGTGTGCAGAAAGGAAGAAAGCAAAAAGGCCGTGGCTGTGAGCAGAGCCACTCACTCTCCGCTGAGGCCAACTGGGAGCGATGGAGCAGCTTTAGGAGGAGCAACTCGATCCAGAGCCCCAGTGCTGGGGTTTATGAGCTCCTAAGATCACAAACCGAGGGGCCAAACGCTCAGCAGTGAAGGCTGCATGCAGTTACAGCAGGGCTCAGACGCTGTGACAACGCAGCTCCATCCCGGCACGGAGCTCCAGGCCCAAACCTTCGCACCCCAACTTCCCTGTGCGCAGAGCTGAGGATCCGCGGCGCAGGGCAGAGCTGCAGTGCGGGAGGAACCCAGGAGCCCAGGGCCCGAGCCGGGTTTGCCCTCCTGCCCTGCACCAGGTTTGCCCTCCTGCCCTGCACCAGGTTTGCTCTCCTGCCCTGCACCAGGTTTGTCCTCCTGCCCTGCACCAGGTTTGCTCTCCTGCCCTGCAGCCCCGCTTTGCGCCTTTAAGTGAGAAATCAGCCGGCGTTTGGCTGCAGCTCGTTTGTGACTCTGCCACGGAACGGAACGGAAAAAGAAAGTCCTCCCACAGCTCCTCTGGGGCTCCAAACGCTCCGTGCAAACAACGCCCACCGCATGGGAGGGGAATCCTGAGCGAGGAAAATCTGACCCAGGATCCCCGACGGCGCCCTGCGTCCCTCAAAGGGCGGCTGCAGCCCGGGGGGCTCCTGCTGCTCCGCTCTGCCCCCACGGCGGCACGCAGACGCGCTCCCCGCTCAGCGCCGCTCTTCCCTTCCAGCAGCTGAGGGCGCAGCAGTGAGCGCTGCCCCCGGCCCTGCAGCGGGGCACAGCCTGCATTGAGCTGCCCGGGGAGCTGTGCTCACAGCCTGGCGGCCCCGACACCACGCAGCTGGGAGCCCTGGTTGCTGCGCAGCCCTGCCGCAGCCTGCGCCTCCCGCGCTCACGTACCCAAATCTGCGTCTGTGCTTTTCTTCATGTCCTTCTGAAGCTTTTTGGTCTGCTCTTCCAGCCTGAAAGATGGGAGGAGAAGGTGAAGTCTGAATCTTTGTGCGCTGCTGAGACAAAACCACCCAGAGCGGCTCTGCAAGCACAGAGCTGCCGGCCCTGCTGCTCCATGGCTCTCAGCCCTGCACTTCGGTGCTCCCTTATTCAATAGCCCCCAAATCCTGCCCACAAACAGGAACTCCAGGCGCTCCTTCCCCCACTGCAGGGCAATGCTCAGAGTGCTGAGCTCCACTGCGATGCTCTGAGATGTGGGGGATGTTTGCTCCCGGTCCCCAAAGCTCAGCCCTCAGGAGCTCCAGGGTTATGGGGGCAGCCAAGGGGCCCAGCAGAGCCGTGCCACCGCTCCCGACCCGGCCCCACAGCCAATACTCACTGCTGCAGCTTCCCATATTCCCTCTCAAAGTCTCTCTCCACCTGCAGAAAGAAGAGACAGAAATCAGCTGCGCTGTGGGGCGGAGGGCAGCGATCTGTCTGCCCCACAGCGGCAAAGGGAGCCCACAGCTGCCCCTCCTGCGCTCCCAAAGCAGCTCCATGCAATGCTGCAGGCTGCAGCCCCCCAGCCCTGCCTGCCCCCCACCGCAGCACCGCCAGCTCCCCCCTGTTTGCATCTGGAAGAGGAGAGATTTTGAGGAGCCTTTCCTTCCACGCTGTTTTAACGCACATTTAAAACATTTGTTCCACAGCTCGTCGACCAAATAAGCGAATGGATTTCAGCTGACCGGGCCAAGAGTAAATCTGTGCCTCGTTGTTGTCATGGGACCGGAGCTGGGCCGCTTCGTGCTGAGCTGCCAGGAGCCCAACCTGAGTGCAGAGCCTCAGACCTGGGCTCAGCGCACGAAACCCCACAGGACGGCGCCTTCCAGGCTGCTGCTGAGGAGCAATGCTCCAACACGGAGCTCAGCAGCCTCCCTTCCTCTGCTCCACTGCTGTGTGCTCCCCCAGCTCCCACCCCCAGAACCAGGGGGCTGCGATCGCCGGATGCCCACAGTGCTACAGCTGAGAGGTGCTCAGAGCCTGCAGGGCTGGGAGCATCGGGGACCCCACAGCGCTGTGGGTCTGGCGCAGCTCAGGCCTCGCAGTGGGGTCAGGAGCTGCAGGGTTTGGCGCAGCCCCAGCGTGGCGCTGCTTGCAGACCAGCTGCCGGCACCATCGGCTCCCACCATCCCAGGGATGCACACGGATGAAAAAGCTCCGCCGAGCTCCGGCTGCCCTTTGCACTGCTAAAAATGGTCACTGCAGCACAGGGACGGAGCGGTGTGGGGGCAGACGGAGCCACGCAGCTGCCGGAGCCTGGAGGTCAGCTCAGCAGCAGCCGGGGAAGCAGCACCCTGTGTTTGTATGGCTGCAAAAATAACCGCCGAGTGCCGCGCTCTATTTATACGTCTGATGTGTGAATTGTTTGGGATGCAAACACCGAAGGGTCGGCGTTGACTCACAGCGGTGTCCTTCGGAGGGCGGCGGGTCCTGGCAGGGAGCTGCAGAGCAGGGAGGGTCCTGCTGGCTCCGCTCCGCTCAGCTCCTCCAAAACGCCTCCTCCAAAAGGCAGAGGCCTGCAGGGGTTTGCAGCCCCTTCCCTCCTGCCGTTGGCTTCCTGCTGTGCAGGGCGAGGAACGCGAGGCAGCGGCGCCCAATGGAAGGGCAGGGAAACTTCTGCAGACCTCGAGAGGAAAAACTCCAACGCAGGATGACGGAGGTCAGAAAGCTGCCAAGATGCCCAAATCCAACCCCAACCACAAAGGAACCACGAAGGGTGCAGGGGATCATCAAGAACCCCAACCCCGATCCGTCCCACAGAACCACGGAGGGTGGAAAAGTCCACTGAGGTCACTGAGTGCAACCCCAACCCACCGCCACCGTGCCACAGAGCCACCGGGGTTGGAACAGACCACCACCATCACCAGCTCCAGCCCCCACCTGCGCCCACAGAACCACGGAGCTCAAAAAGAACAGCCCAGATCAACGAGTCCAACCCCAATGCACCCCCCTCTGCCCCCAGAACCACGGAGGCCCAAGAAGGACCACCAAGAACCCCCTTCCCCCCCCACGCCCCCCCCCCCCCATGCCCAGAACCGCATCCCCCCGTGCCGCAGCCCCGCGGTTCTGAGCACCTCCGAGGAAGGTGACCCCGCCACCCTGCCTCCCATCTCAGAGGGGACAACACGTCCCTGCGCCCTGCCATGGCACGAGGTGACAGCACAGCGCCCAGCTGCCCGCCTGACTCCGTGCCACGTCTGCAGACAGCTGCCCACAGCCTGCTCTCCTTTTTCACGCCCACAGCAGCAGCCGCCTCCCACTCAGCTCTATTCCCGGCCGCACGCATGGGGCCCGGAGAGGAGCCGGCCCTGCAGCACCCATGGGTGGGAGGGCAGGGGGACGGCGGGGAGGACGAGCAGAGAGCAGGCCAAGCACGTCCTGCAAGGCACATTTTGCACGGCGCGCCGCTCCTGGTGGCAATCCTCAACGGCCAGGAGTCGCCAGGACCGAGGGCGAAGGCTGCGATAGGATTCTGAATCTATGCTCCTTGAGAGCAAAGAGGAGCAGGAGCACAGGCGACAAAACCGCCACGTCCCAAGGGAAGTTCCCAGCAGTCCCAACAGCCCCTGCAAACTCAGAATCCAACCCGCTTCTGCAGCGGGCGCCTCTCGTTCAGGGCATCCGTGCTGCTTAATGCTTTTTAATAAACCCACATCAAGGAGGCCGAGTTCTCCTAAGGAAACGGTGCTCTCCTTTCTCAGCCACGTATTTCTGTTTGCCAACCCCGCTCCCTCCGCCGCCAGCAGCCCGGCGCTCGCAGGGCAGCATCGCCATCACTGCACCGCGGTGAAACCAAAGGCTGCTCTACAAAGAGATGGAAATAAGGGGCTGCGCTGGGGCTCCTCGCTCCCCGAGGTGAATTTCCTTTCTGGAGGAGGACGCGCCGGTTCCTGCGGGCTGAGCTTCTCACGGGCGCTGGGAAAAAGCAGGAAGGGACTCTTCCTCCTCTCCCAGAAGCAGAGCTGTGTAATCAGGTCAAACTCTGCCGTGCGGGGGAACCGCGCTGTGCCACGACCAGAGGAAAGGGTGGGCAAGGGAGAAGCAAGGACATCATGGTCTGGAGGTCCAAGACCACCGACCAGCCAGCAGCGCAGCCCACCACACCAGGGAACCATCGGGGTCGGAAAGGACACCAAGGTGACGAAGCGGACGGCTGGCATCCACGGAGCTGCCATGGGTGGATGCTCAGCCATGCGGCGCCCATGGAGCCCTGAGCCGCGGCGATGAGCAGCGCACGGTTTGGGGCCGCATGGCGTTTCCCCAGCCAGCAGCTGCACAGGGCACCGAGGAGCCCCTCCAGCCCACGCCGCGTCCCACCGCAGAGCGTGAAAATGGTGAAAGGATTTGACTCGCCTGCCCTGATTTCACCCCACAACTTCTGCGCCATTTCCTCCGTCGTTACTCACACATTTCCAGCTCTCTGCTGGAGCCCAATGGAAACAGCGGGCGGATGGAATCCTGCTGCTCTGCCCGACCCGGGGAGCACAGGGCTGTTGGCTGAGCCCATGGCCCCCGGCCCGCCAGGCCGACTCGCCCAGGTCAGCAGAGCAGCACAGCTCCCCGTGAGCCAAGGGAGGGCAGGCTGGAAGCTGGGGGAACGAAGGGCCGCGCTCCTGTTCCCATCCCAACAGGTGGGAGCCGGCCGGTGCCGTGCAGCTCTGAGCCCCACGGGGACACGCGGCACCTCCTCCCCATCTCGGATCACCCAGCCCTGGCCAGGAGCGCCGCACGGCCTCGAGGGGACGCCGGTGAACTTCACCGAGCGCTGGAGCTGAGGATAAGCACGGCTCTGCTTCCCGCATCACCTCTGCTCGGCCCCGGGGAGCATCTCTGCCATAAGAGGCTTCATCTGCGCACGGGGTTTGAGCAGGAAGCGTTCGGCACGGAGGGATTCGAGCAGGGTTAAGTCCCATCAGCGGGCATTAGTTCCAAGGGCTGCACCCCCGGCACGGAGCCCCCCCAGCTGGCGCCAGCTGCTCCCGGCAGGGGAGAGGAGGGGAGAGATTACGCCGTCTGCAAGAGGATTTGCCCAGGTTAAGGTGCAAACGGAGCAGCGGCCGTCTGGGGGGCGGCAGCTCACCCTGGCTGACCGGGCGGCGCTCCGCAATGGGGTTCCCTTCCCGCAGGGCCGACACATTGCCCTGCTGCAGAGCCTCAGAAGCCACGGGGAGCTGTGACGAATCCCCCTGCAGCCTCAGCGCAGCGCCTCGCAACTGCAGCCGGCCCAGGAAAAATAACAACTGGAGAGCAGCAAAAGGTGCTGTGGGGAGCTCAGCCTCCTGGCACCGGTTACAAACCGCACCGCGAGCCACAGCGGGGCAGCTCCAGCAAATGCCTTCCCTTTTTAACCTCCCCAGCGCCCAGAGGTCGGCAGCCAACTGACCCAACTTCTCTTCTGTAGGGAAGGAAGGGCGGATGGGGACAGGCCTGGGAATGGCAGCGCAGAACGAAGCTCTGCTGCGGGATGCTGAGAGCTGTCTGTGTGTGTGTGTGTGTGTCTGTGTGTGTGTGTGTGTCTGTGTGTGTGTGTGTGTGTGTCTGTGTGTGTGTGTGTGTGTCTGTGTGTGCAGCACCTGCCGGCTCCTCTGCCCCCATCCCCACGGCTCCCATGGCTTCGTGCACAGTGTGCGGCCTGCTGTGCTGCCCCAGCCCAACCCCCAGCAGGAGAGGGCGAAACCAGCAGGACAAAAAGCAAAACTGACCCAAATGTGGGGCTGGGTGGGATGGAGGCGGCTCCCAGGGCAGGCAGTTCTGGCAGCCGGCACTGAGAAGAACAGGAGGCAAATCTCCAAGTCCTGGGGGCAGCAGGGGCTGCTGGAAAGCAGAAATAAATGGGGACAAACTGCTGTGGCCCTTTGGTCTGTTACAGCATTGCGGTGCTGCCCACCTGTTGCCAAAGGCTGGGAGATGCAGGAATGCCATGGAGGGACGTGACGGGGCCGCTCCATCCCTGCTGCCCAGTTCTGCACTGGCAGCTTGGGGCCAGCAGCCAAGCACTCACTTTGGAGGAGGAACGCGGGCCGGTGCTCGGGGTGAGGCGTGCAGGACGAAGGCAAGGAGCGTCTGCAGGAGAAGGGGAAGCACCGCAGGCAGCTGCACGCGGCAGCACCGGGGATGGGAGCCACGGCAAGACAAAACGCTGCTTTAATTTGCTTCTAAAGCAAATGCTGCACAGCACAAATTAATTCACGCCCGAGCACTGAGCATCTCAGCTTATGAGCCTTTCTTTGGAAACAGTTATATTCAGCGCTCCGAACCACTCCTCCTCCTCCATCTGCTCAGCGAGGATGAACAAACAAGCCACCGCCGAGCGAGGGAAGGAAGGAAGGAGGGAAGGAAGGAGGGAAGGAAGGCAGGCCATGTCTCTGCCTGCAAGGAGAGCCATCCCAGCCCCTGCCTGGGCAGCAGCCGGCCGGAGCAGCGCTCCCTGCAGCGCGGGGCTCCGTGGCACGAGAACGCAGTGCTGCAGGGCTGCAGGTCCCGCTCGCTCCCCGCCGCCTCCTCGTGAAGTGGGGCGAGCCAAAGTGCCGCCCTGACTCACAGCCACATGATCAGAGGCTGCGGCTAAAAACGGGGAATTGCTTTACTCACTGTCTTGGGTACAATCTGTTTCTTGGGCTGCCCGATCTTGAACGGGATCCTGGGAAAGAGAGAAGGGAGAGGGGAGGAAAGTGTGAGCAAGAGGCGACGCAGCGAAAGCATCCATGGGGGGAGCGGAGGGTGGATGTGGGGTGGGGATGTGGGGTGGGGACCCCCAGCACAGTGTGGCACCCACTGAGCCCCCCAACCCCCCCAGGCGGCGCCCTGCCCTCCCGCCACAGGAACAAAGGCACTGGGTGCTGCACAACCCGCAGCTGCACAGCGGGCTGCGTCCCAACACCGAGAGCAAAGCCGGTAAGGATTCAGCAGGAGGGCATTAAAAGCAGGAGCGACGCGAGCTGCCGCACCTGCCAGCACCGCAGCCCAGATCCCCGCTGAAATCTGGGTCACCCACATGGTTCCCATAGCGAGTTTGCTCCGAGGTGAGGAGCACCCAGGAATCACTCGGGGCAGCCCTGCCAGCTCCTTACAGCCCTGAGAACCGCCGGGTTTTTATTCCACCGATAAGCAAGAAGAAAAGCGGGATCCTCCGGCTGTTAACCGAGCCCCGGAGGCGACGCTCCATCCCAGCCGCTCGCCCAGAGCCTCCCGCACAGCAACAGAGGTCAGCCCTGCCACAAGGCAGCCAGCGCCTCGCAGCCCAGCAGCCCCGAACCCAGCGCTGCGCCGCAGCCCCGAGCCGCCGCCGTCCTCGCTGCCGCCCAAAGCCGCGCTGCTCCGCCGCCCCGCCTGCACGAAGGAGCCCCCAGCTCAGCGCACGGCGCGGCGCAAAGCTGCCCGCCGACCCCGGCCCTCCCCGCCTCCGCCCAGCCGAGCTCTGGCACCGTTTCCAAACCAACGGTGTAATTAAAGCCGCCGGTAACGAAGCCGGGGCGCCGACCTGAGTCACCGCGATAAGTGCACGCTTTGGGCACCGCTTCCTGTTTATCGTCCTCCCCTTCAACCGATGTCATTTTGGGCTGTCAGCCCTCTGCAGCCCCGTGAATCAGCCCTCCTTTAGAAACAAACGCTCTGCGGTGTGTCATTACGGCCCGGCCGCGCGGTGCCTTACAGGAAACGAGCGCCAAAAACGAGAGAAAAAACACGGATTTTTCTCTATGTTTTCCTGCGTGGGGTCAAATATAAACGCAGCCGAGGTGCCCTGCTGTCCCACGGTGTGCTGTGCATCAGGATGTGCCAGGATGGGGCACAGTGAGCCGCGGGTGGGCAAAGGGTGGCATGGCACAAATGGGGAGGAAAAGGCACAACTGAGGCCAAAAGTGCGAGCTGCAAGCGGGGGGGAAGGAGAGAGAGGTCATGATGTGGGGCTGGGGGAAGGAGAGAGAGGTCACGATGTGGGGCTGGGGGAAGGAGAGAGATGTCACGATGTGGGGCTGGAGACCCCCCACACCCGGCCCTGCAGGCTGCGTCCGGGGCAAAGCGCAATTAAACGGCAATTAATGCACTTAAGCTGTAAGGACCTGGCGTAGGGAACCTGCTCTGGCAGGAGGGCCGGACTCCACGACCTCTGCAGGCCATTCTGACCCCTTTGAGTCCATGATCCTGCAAAGTGATGGAGCTCGGCCCAGCTGCAGCCACGGGGAGGAGGAGGAGGCGGCTGGGGGCAGCGCCACGAGCAGCTCAGGGCCGGGGGTCCCTGCGCTCTGTGCTGGGGGCTCACAAACCCTCCCTGCTCTCCTCCAGCACAAAAGCAAGGCAGCAGAGCTCCAGGAGCACGGAGCAGTGAATGCCTCCATCAGCACCGTGCTGCCTCTTGGCTCATTGTCTGCCTGGTGCGACCTGGTGCTGCACGGAACCCTGCGCAAAGCCACGGCTGTTCGCTCGGGGTTTTTTTTTGGGTGGCTGCTGTTGTTGTTGTTGCTCTGTTACAATTGCAGACAATCTTCCCGGTTGCTGCCAACTCTTTTTGCTTTCTGAATACGGATCTGCAGAAAGAAAAAGCAATAAAAAACAAAAAAGAAGGGAAGCAAAGCAGGAAAGGAACGGCAGCGCGGGGAGCAGAGCATCACAGGGGGGCAGAGAGCAGAGCCCCAGGGACCAGGCGTGGAGGGGGGTTGGGGTGAGAGGAGGCGCCTCAAGAGGACAAAGCAGAACTGGGGCTTTTTTTCTTCTTTTTTTCCCCCCTCTCTTTGCTTTCTCGTTTCTGCTGAGCCAGAGAGCAACAGGGCTGTTGTTTGGGGTGTGAAAAGCTTTGAAACCGCGTTCCTGAAGAGCGCGCTGAGTCAGCTCAGCACTGCGGGCTGCTGGGGGGCTGAAGGGCTGCTGTGGGGTTGGGGGGCGCTGGGGGGTTGGGGGGCTGCTGTGGGGTTGGGGCACTGCTGGGGGGTCGAGGGCCTGCTGTGGGGGTCAGGGGGCTGCTGTGGGTCGGGGAGATGCTGTGGGGTCGGGGCAGAGCTCTGAGCAGGGTGGGAAGGGCTGAAAGCGGGGAAAGAAGTGTGGGTGGAGAGAACCCTGCGAGCTTCTGCTGAGGGCTGAGCAGCGACCCCAGGGAGGGGAAGGTGGGAGAAGCTGCGCTTCGCTCCCTCTGAAGTTTCCCCAGCCATTTATTCACACAGCTTCTCCAGGCGCGCACCCAGGGCTGAGCACCAAAGGATCTCAGTTCCCCCCCCGGGACGCATCGGGGAGCTGCAAATGAGCCTCGTGGGCAGAGGGGTGCAGCTCTGTGGGGTCTGTGGGGAAACGGAGACGGAACGGAGCTCCCACGCTGCTGCACCCCCCGGGAACGTGGCGCAGCGGCAGCAATCCCTCATGGGGCAGCGCTCCTTTTGCCTCCATCCCACGGCGCATCCACGGTGGGCTCAGCCCTCTGCTCCCCAAGCAAAGCTCTGCCCCCCCGGCGGTGCGCCCACAGAACCCTGCGGTGTCCCTGGGAGCACAGGGCAGCACCCCGGGTTGTCACCGTGCTCAGAACGCAGCGAGCTTTGGCCGAGGAGGACGGGGAGCAGGAGGAGCTCGCAGCCACCCCACTGCGCAGCGCTCCTCAAACACCAACGGAGCCCAAACCCCCCCACAGCCCACGAGGAGCCCCAAAGCTGAAGCGCGCAGCACTGGGTGCCCTCGGAGCGGGGAATTCCAGCCCCGTGCAGGTGACAAAGCCACCAACACCGCCGGGATCCATCGCTCCATCCCTCCGGGCGCGCTGCTGCGCTACACCGTGTCCATGGCAACCGCATGCACCATCCC